AGGATTTGGGGTTTATTTACCAAAGATGTTCGGGTTCCCTCACGGGAATTTACCACACTTTGGTGAGGTTACTGTCGCCAATGAACGACAGTTTGCATGCTAGTTTAATTGTTGTAATTCAATGAATGTAATAGTTGGTTTCCATTAGTCACTATTTGAGAGTGTAAGAGATAAAAAAATCATAATAAAAAAACGAATAGTCAAGAAGAGATTTCTTTGCTTACCTTGTTTATTCGAATCCTTATCGTTTTTTTAAAAGCTGTCGGGTAGTTTACATCGCCGGGAATAGGTCAATTCTTGTCGTTTGAAACCTTGTATGTCGTGTATTTGCGTTAGTTCTCGCCTTTCAAAACTTTAAAATAAAATAGAGATAACTTAGATTGTTTACCTTTTGAAGCCAATAGTTGAACTCTTTTGAACACATCCTTTCTTTGTAAGACTAAAGGAATAATCTTGAGAGGTAAAGGAGGAATCAAAACATCTGCAAATAAGCATAATAAAAATATAATAGAAAATAAAACTAAAAATGAAAGGAAAGTCTTCTAAGATCTGTTATTAGGCAACCATAGATATGTATAAGAGAAAGTGGAGTTGATTTTTGGGCTAGGAACCGACCAACATTTAGGAGGGTGTGAGCGGCCGAGAAAGATGAGCGGGATTGAGAAGGGTTTCAATTAGATAATACCGAAGAATAAGAAAAAGATGGGAGAAGAGAATGAAGAAGAAAAACGGCACAGAGGGAGAAACAAATAAAAATTAGGGCAAATTTCATTTTAAAATAATATATTTATTAAATCTTTAAAATAACGTCTTATGAATGTCAGGGAAATATATATTTCACGCATGGCCTATTTGTTATGTAAACCATTTAGGTTTTACTTGTAACTCATTTTAGTCCTAAAATCAAGTCTTTGATGTTTTAATTTGGTCTCTTCATTTTATGTATATTTTATTTTAGTCCTAATTGTTTGTTTATTTAATTTTGGTTGTTTAGAAATTTAACCTCTAATTTTCTGCACGTTTCTTAGTCCTATGCATATTTAAGGTATATTGTGATGTTAGTTCCTTACAATGGTGTTTTGTTTTGTGTCAGTTTCATTTTATAGTATAATTCTGGAATTTTCACTTTAATTATTGTATGGTTTGTATTTAAAATACTAAAGATATTTAATCAATATTTTAATTTGTATAGTTTTTTAAAAATTTGTAGTTTGATGTGGTATGTTTTATTTTTTTAAGTCATATTGATTCATAACACATTAATATATATGAATAAGTTATAATATATAGTTATAAAATATGTATATAATTCTTGTATAAAGATGTCATATTGCATGATAATTTTTCTTATATTATTTTAATATTTTTATGTGAATGAGTCAATGTGGTTCTATTAATTTGTTTTTTTTTATTTTTTATGCAAAACGTCAATTTTTAATTTATATTTAATTCGTATTTTATCACTAAAGAGAAATATTTTTTTTATGAATGAGAAATATTCAAAAAAAATTATCGAGTCAAAAGATTTTCTTTAAATTACTAGTTCGAAGCAATTAATTAAATTTCAATAAATGGATCATAATTTAATTTTATATTTAATTCATGATTTTCACCATTTACGACAACGGGTAAGCGAAACAGTACCAATTTTGGGCGCTGTGCCGGTGCTAATCCTTCCCCACGCGTAACCGACTCCTGAACTCGTTTTAACGAATCTTTGGTAAACGTAGGCCAGCTTTTGTCTTAAAAAATGATTTTTCTTAAAATTATTTTTAAAAGACGTTTTTAGGTATTCGACCTACCTAACCCAAAGGTTGATGTCGACTCTTTTTAATTCTTTTTAATTTATTTCAAATTACTCCAAAATCACCCATTTTCCAAAATTAAAAATCGTAACTATTTTTAAAACAATCAAACGATTGTCCCCTCAAAAAAACGGTTACGACAACTTTTAATAAAAATAATATTTATTTTTGCTACTTGGACCATTTATGAGTTTCAAATATTCGGTGATTTAATTATTGAGATGGAACAATTTTCAACTGTATAATAAATAAATGATAAAATAGAGAAATGGCGTCTCAGTAAGATGTATGCTATATAGCAGATAGGGTAGCGAATGAGCTATAAAATCTATAGAATGAGTTGGAAAGGCTTTGGCAACTTGGAATAGGCATGGCAACTTGGAATAGGCATAGCATGTATCTTATTCATGGATGTGTTTTTTACACTTTATTTGACTCTATCGCTGTCCCAATTAATTACTACAGTGCCAACTACCAACTACCACATAAAAAAAACCAAGGTTAGTTGGTCGTTTCAACTTCAGCCAACAATTTTGCACTTCTTCACATGCACCCCACCACACTTTGTTTCCTCACTACTACATTTTAAAATCCATCTATTACTTTTTTTTAGTCATTGAATACATTTTTAATGAAATTGTCATATAAATTATTTGTTTTTATTATTTTGATCACCACCGTTAAATATTTAATGACAATATTGATGTGAAATTTTTAATTACTTTTTATTTACCATGTTATTTTATTTAGTTAATTTCTTCCCCAAATACATTAATTTATTTTTTTAGTTTTATTAGACCAATTAGGTGACAACATGTCTCATCATCTAATTGATTTTAAAAATTATTAAAAAACTTCACATCATTGTTATTTAGGAGTAAGAAAATGATGTGAAAAATTGAAAAAAAAATCTATGTCAATATCGTTAAATATTTAATGGTAAATAACCAAAATTAGAAAAAAAGTAAAATTAGTGACGTTTTTGTTAAAAAATAGTTTGATAATAAAAATGAAAAAAAACAATAGATTGGTGACACTAATATAGTTTATCCTTTCTTTTATATTAGACTCTAATGCATGGAGACGGAGTGTTGGTCTTATTACTTTTTTTCCTCTCTAAAGAATCCAATAGGGTTTAAGAACCTTAAAGCCATTAAAATTATTTGGTGTTTAGATGGAATACTTTTAATTGTAAAATAAAATTAATAAAAAAAAATGTGGGCATCGGGAAAGACGGTTCAAAAGGTTTGGAAGGATTCTAAATGGCTGGAGAAGAGGCTTCCTCTCCTTCCATTTGTGTGAACTTGTGTTTACAAGAATAAGAATATTGCTAAGTCTGATATTTTTCGACACCTCTAAATTCCCTTATCTCCCAGGGATAAGATTCTAAATTTTAATGATACAATCTTCATGTGTATTGTCCAGTATAATGCGCCGATGACGGGCTGAGAAATCCGACCAATGTTAAAATCAGGGACTGATGAGTTACTGGAGAACGAATTTATAAAAAAATTTGAGACGATAATATATTATTAATAAAACTTCAGAAGGGCAGCTGTCCTTATTACTTCAATTGATCACTGATTATAATTATCATGCGTATTTTGCCAGGGTCCCTGCAGAGAAGACCCCCTTAAGTCCCAGATGCTTCCGGGACGAATCTTCAATTATTGAGCACTCGCTCCCATCCAATTAGACATTTGAAAGACACTGGCATGCAATTTGTTTATTGAAAGCCTGTCAAAATTTTCGTAGCTGATATAGATTACAATCCTGAAATTTATGGACATTGTTGTTGGAGCATGTTTGCTAAAGCAAATTTTCAATGCGTACTCAATAATTAACTTTACCAGTTTTAATTTTTTTATTATTAAAGTTGCGTGATTTAACTTTTTTTAGTCGAATTTTAGATGATTAGAAAATCTATTATTTAAATAAAATTAAAATAGGGATATATGAAAGAAGTTTAGGCAATGTAAAGCTCTATTTTTTCCTTTTGCATGCTGAAGATTAATAAATTCAGTTTGAACAGATATTTTTTATGCATATTTTCTTCGTAAATAATTTTTTTTCCTATAAATAGATATTAGAGATTAAGGTTTAGATGTAAATTGATTAAATCTTAAAGTACATTTAGATGCAAATCTTTATGTATTCTTTTTCGATACGTTTTTTCCCGTTAAATCTTAATTTTTTTTATTTTATGATTATTTTATCTTTGTTATTATCAAACCTTAAGAGTTATTTTAATCAATCCATTGTCTAAAACCTGAAAAATATGGGTCCAGAGCAACTATAAACACGTCAAAGCTTGTATAATATAATACATTTGTTTGTCCCCTGTTTTAGTCGTGAAAACAAATGTACAATTTCTGCAAATGACATAATTTACTTGCTTTTCGGTGCGCAAAAAATCTGAATATTCGATTTTACACAAAAAATATTTAAAATCGGATTTAGAAAAAATCGGTTTATTTTAAACCGGATAATATAATCGATTTGGGAAAAAATTAGACGATCGGTTTTTTACCGGATTAAAAAACCAGTTTTTTATTCGAAAAAAATCCGGTATGGGTTTAAAAAACTAGCCGTTAATATAGTCGTTAGGGAAGTTTTTAAGTATTTGAATTTATCGAACTTGGAAGTTTTTAAGTATTTGAATTTATCAAACTTGAAAGTATTTAAGTATTTCAATTATAGTAAATTTTATTGCAATAGATGATGATGTAATTTTAATAATATTAAAATCGGTTTTTTTATATCATGATTTTTTAAAAAACCGGTTTTTTTTCAAGCCGAAACCGGTTACACCATCCGGCCCTCCAAACCGGTTAAGATCCGAACCGATTTTTTTATAAACCGATTTTTAGCCTAGGTGAAAAAATCGGATCGGTTTTTATCCGATTCGGATCGAATTTAAATCCGACTTTGTGCATGTCTACTTGCCGCTATTGCTTTGGCAACTTCTGTGGTTAATGTTTGCAAGGAATCTTTGTTTCACAATATTTTTAACAAGAGGTATCAACTTTTCACAATCGAAATTCATTCTAAAAATTCATAGTTTTATTCCAGGGCTTATTGTTGATTCTGCTTGCCTCCCAATTCATAGGTTATATCAAAATTTTGTTTGACGACCAGAATTTACAGACAGATTAAGGGCAACAACATGTCAATGAGGAGAATCAAACACCAACGCATAAAAGATAAAATTTATTATACATATCATCTGACAATAATTTGCTAAACTTTACAACTAGACCTATAATAATGCAAGAAAACATGAACTTGGAAGGTCTCCAAAGGGCGTTGCTTGGATTAAAAGTACCAGCAAGACCTCTCTTACAACATATTGACATAGATTCTAAACTCACGACACCTAATTAATACTCTGTAGCAACTCTACAAATGTCAAATATTTCATTGTAGAGGCTACTAGAGATAAAGAAAAATATTACATGATAGTAGTTGTAGTTTTGTTTTCAAGACTCTAAGAGAGTTCCCTGATGGCTTCCCAATCAATTTCTACTGAAGGGAACTTTTCCAAATTGAAGTTTTCATTGTCTCCCCACTTTGAATCGGAGAAATCCAAGAAAGTGATATCGGATTCTGGTGAAGAAGACCCTGCCAATGATTCCTCGGATAAATCTGGTGAATTCTCCGCTTTAGGATGGGGTAACTTTGGAGACTGATCCAACTCCTCGCTCTTCACCTTAGGTTTTGATTCTTGTTTCCCCAGGCTCTCACAGATGGCTTGCAGCTTTGCATCAACCGAGGAATGGAGAGGTTTGAAGCCAGAAACATTAAGTCCTTGATGCTTAAGGTGGGGGAAATTGAGCCTGGCAAATTCTCCTCGGAGCATGTAACCAGCCTTGTCATAAGCCAAAGCTGCCTCTTCAGCTGTATCGAAAGTGCCAAGCCAAAGTCGAGTTCGGTTCTTGGGGAGTCTGATTTCGGCAACCCATTTCCCCCAGTGCCTCTGCCTCACTCCCCGGTACAGTTTTGCAGGCTTTGGAGGAGTTGAAGATACTTGTTTCATAGGGACAGCTTTTGGGGAAAGAAAGTTGAGCCTCTGGTTTCCAAGGGGTGTTTTTGGAACCATATAATCAACCTGCTGCTGCTGCTGCTGCTGATGATGATAGATTTGAGCTTGAATTTGAAGGATTTGAGAAGGGTTGAGCTGGTTAAGCCCAATTGAACCTGTTTGCTCAAAACCCATCGGATTGCTATAGTTAAAGAACCCATGGTTGGAAAACAAGTGGGTACTCGATGGGGAGCAAAATCCAGGATCCATGTTAGGCTGTGAAGGAGATAAAAGTTGAGAATACGAGAAAGATAAAGAAGAAGGAGGAGAAGAAGAAGAATAAGTAGATGAAGCACTTTTCATAAAAGGTTCAAGTGCTTTCATTAACTCTTCACTGAAAGGATCTGAAAAAACTGAGTTACTGCTGCTATTATGCATATCTATAGCTGCTGCCATATCCAAAAAACTAAGTTGCAACCTGGTTCTTAACCAAAACTAAAAGAACAGGCAAAAGTTCGATTTAAAAAAAAAACTTGAGGGAACAAAAACAAACCCTCTTAGCAGATGAAAATAAAGCTTAAAACTTTGTAGTAATTGATTTTAAAAACAGAAACCTGGATCTCTATTCTGGAACATCCGGCTTTCAAAAAACCAACCTGGTCTGGGCTTGTTTAAAGCTTTGTTCTTGAAAGACAGACTATAACAGAAAGGGATTCAGAGAAGCGGGGGATTACAGGGGAAAAAAAGGGGGAGGGGGAATTATGAAGAAAACTAGAATGATCGAACACTGTTGAAAATTTTGAAACTTCTCTCAATCTTTTTTTTTCTTTTGGTGGTCTCACTTTGGTGTTTGCTCTCTTGCGTTTGGAGGGTCGTCTTCTCTCTTCTTATATAAAACTCCGGTCTTCACCCCCTCCGTGTGCTTTCCCTCTCACAACCCATAGGTTTTTGGTTTTTTAATTATTTTTTTTGTTAATCATTACTTAATTACTGAATTAATATTAATTTAATTTATCTCCCTCTTTCTCGTCAACTTCGAAGATGCCATTATTCGATGGGATGAGAATTTTAACCGGCAGGTGTCGGTTTGAGAAAGGAAGTTCTTACACGTATTATATTTTGATTGGGCGAAGGATTTGTTGACTGTGATTTAGATGAGTAGTGGACGTTTTGGTCATTAGCTTTTGGAATTTAATGCTAAATTTTGTCTTATCTCTTGGTTTTGCGGCATGGCCTGCCCCTACCACTTTGCCACAAAATAATCAATAAATAACTTTTCATTATTATCTCGAATTATTTGGGCTGTGATTTTATGACCTCGATAGTATTTATTCTTTGAAATTTGAGGGCTAAATGGAACTTGACATTTTAAGTATAATTAGAGAAATGATAATAAATTTTATTTTAATAAAAATATATATTAAAAATAAACAAAACATATATCATTGTTATAAAAAATTAAAAAATTATAAACTATTAAAACAAAATAAAAACGTAATTTATAAAATTGATGTACGAAATCTAAAAACTAAAGAAATATAAAATAAATGAAGAGAATAATAATTAATCCTCAAATTCACTTCCGTGGTGATTAATTAAATTTATTATTTTTATTCGATAAAAAAAAAGTTAAAGTAGGGTTAATCAAAGAGCAAACACTAAAAACAAAAAGCAAAACCGTGGGTTAAGGTCGTAATAACATAAAAGTAATAATTAAAGGGGGAAAACGCGTGCCATCATGTACTAACCGAAAACAAGGGAGAGGGTAACGTCAATTGCGGCTCCATATTGAGTGCTCATACTATGGCTGAGCAACGAAATCGAGAAAATTGAAAAATTGACACGAATCGAGTAAAATAGTTCGATTCGATTCGAATTTACCTCTAAACGGTTCGGTTTCGGGTTAATTAAAGAATGAATCGCAATTGATTCGGTTCGGTTCGAGTTTTCCATATGAAACCCATTTGACCCGTATTGAACCGAATATCCGGTTACCCTATCCAATTCCCATACGGCATAAGCCCAATTATTAATAGAAAGCATACTGTTGGAGGCATTTAATTTTGTTCAAAGATGAAAAAGAAAAAGGTACATAGTTTAATTTGTTTTTTAACATAAAGTGTGGGGACTAATGGGAATCTACTGACAGGATAATTTTCAATTAAGTGGGTCCCATGTTGTCTGCTCACTTTCAGCTGGATGAGCTGTATAAAGTGGCTCTCGTTCCAATCTGTTGACTCTGCACTTTGACTCTGAGATTGGAACCCACGCTGTATGTTCTCGGTTTATGAAAAACCGATTTATCGAACCGAACCGAAAAAACTGGTTTCGATTTTTTCAGTTTTTTAACTATTCGGTTTCAGTTTAAATTTTGAAAACCCGTTTATTTCGGTTCGGTTCAATTTTTAGTAAAAAATCGAACCGAACCGAACCGAATACACCCCTAGCTCAGACACACAAGGAAACAATGGATTTCTTGATTTTTTTTTAATAAATATGGGGTTAAACTGTTACTTTTTATTTAATGGTAAATTATATTTTAGTACTTAAATTATTACTTTTGTTTCATTTTGATATTCAAACTTTATTTTTTTCACAATCATATCTAAAATTTAGTTTATGTTTCAATTTGGTATCATGCCGTTCAAAATTTGACAGAATTACTAACGTGATATTTTTTATTTTTTCAACAATGACTTGACATTATCTTATGGTGACACGTTAACATAACCATTAAGTTTTTAATAACGGTGTATCAAAATGAAACATAAACTAAACGTTATATATAATTTTGAAAATAAATAAAGTATAGGTACAAAAGTTGAAATAACAATATTAGTTTATGTAAATGTGTAGTTTACCCTTTATTTAAATAAGATTTTATGATTTATGTATAACTAATTCTTTATGTGATCATGTCCAATAGGATTCTTTTTCTATTTTTTGTTTTTATTAATCAAGGTTGATTATAAAGTAGTATTTATTTTAAATATTTTTAATAATTTAACAATGAAAGCTCAAATACTTTTACTGTCTTTATTGCTCGAACTTGTAACCTCCATGAATAATAATCATCCCTTAAACCATTGAGTTAAATGGGTTCGTGCTATGTCGTAGACTTATATATATATTCGCCCATTTTAATAATGATATTAGTTAATATACAAATACTTTACATATAAAATTATCTCTGGTGTCATATGTTTCGACATGATTATTTCAGATACGAGTATTGAAAATATTTGATATTCTTAAATCAGGACATATATTACTTATTCACTACCCGAAAAATCAGATACTTGCATTTTTATATATTTAAAAATGTACATACTCTTTAATCATATATTATCTTATACTTATCCTAGATTAATGAAAAAGAAATATACATACTCTATTGTAAGCATTTTATTATTGAAAAATTCTACAACACTCCTCGAGCGTAGATGAGCACGGTTAACGATGAACATCATTAAATTAATTTATAAAGTGTTAAATTATAAAGTACTAAACGTATAATTATAAATTAGTTAAAAATCTAAATGTAATCTAGTTAAAATTAAATATTTATAAAACATTAGTTTTTAGGATAAATTATACCATTGACCACCTAACTATTTACCCATTTTACTTTAACCATCGATTTTTCAATTTTGTCAATCGAGTCACATGACTATTTAAATCTTGTCAATCAAGCCACTTGTCGTTAAATATTAACGGAGGAGATGATGTAACATTTAATAAAATTTGTTTAATTACACATTTAGTCTTTATTACTTACACATTCTATTAATCTGGTCCTAATTTTTAATTAATTCAATAAATTTAATCATCAATCAGATGGTGACATGTGTCACTATGTGATTGGATTTTTTCTTAATATTTTTATTTTATTTAATAAATTTTCCATCCAATCAAATGTTGCCATGTGTCACCAATTGAATGAATAGAAAATAAATTAAATCAATAACCACTGGTGGTAGGGTTTGAATCCAAGACGTGAGGAGAATAAACAAACGCCCCAACCATTGGGCTGCACCATTCAAATGACAAACCTTTCACGACATAATATATATAGTTAATGGCATTAAAAAAAGGAAAATGACTGTCAAGATATAGAGTGTGCATGGCATGCATGTTAAGTCACCGTGTGCATAATATGCATGTGTGCATGGAAGCTGTTAGCTGAGGTAGTTGGGCTGAGTGCAAAGACTGTTAGTTAGTTTTCAAGTTGTTAGGTTGTTTTGAAGTTAGTTACAGATGTGCTATAAGTATCAAGTGTAGATAAGGTGTAAATGTGATATAGTTTGCTTAATAAACAATTCTTGATTACAATTTACATTTCCTCTGGTTTTGCATCACTGTAATACCTAATATGGTATCATTTGCCGGTAGTTCCTGAGGTTTCTTCCTCATCATCTGCGATTCGGGTGGTCCATGGAGTTCACTGCTGGTAAATCATTCACAAACAAAAAGGTTAATATCATTCTTGATGAATCCAATACTTTGGAAGGAACAAATCTTGTTGATTGTTCGCAGTCATTGCCTAGAACGCCTGCTAACTGGAGTTGCTTGTCCTCCTCCTGCCACAATGGTAGATGAACGTAGTGATTCGGTGCCAAATGAACTGCATGAGGAATATGTGGCACAAGACAGTGCACTGGTGTCTTGGCTGCTATCTACGATCAGCCCTCATCTGTTGTCTCAGTTTGTTTGAGCGGAGACGACAGTGGCAGTCTGGAGCACGGTGTTGTAGTTTTTGCCAATCGATCCACTACAGCGGTCAATAGTCTTCACTACAAGCTTCAGTCTCTCAAGAAAGGAACTGATAGCATGCGTGTGTATCTCACCCGCATCAAAGAAGTGTGTGATGCGTTGGATTCATATGATAGTGCAATCCCTCAAGTTGAGCATGTTGCAAGCATATTGAAGGGTTTTCCCCAAGAGTATCAACTGTATATGGCCTTCATAACTACCATGAAAGATGCCTTGTCATTGGATAAGATCTACTCGATGTTTATCGATGTAGAAACTCAACTGGCCAGATTTGACGCTCAAGAAGATTCCCTCCCAATGAGTGCTCATATAGTTCAGTCGAATTCTACCTTGAAATCTGTGATTCATGACATGCATGATCGATCGTCTGGGTGATCAGGGTCCGGTGCTGGGGTAGATTTGGAGGTTGTGGACATGGTCGACCTCGTGTTCAATGCCAATTTTGTAGGAAGAATGGACATTTGGTGGTTGACTACTGGTACAGATTTGATCAGACATTCACTGATAGATCGTATGATCGTGCTTTGTCACGTGGTGACTCAGGAACAGTTAAATGCTCCAGCCTGGATTCTGCTTCGAGTAGTGTTGATGAATGTATATGTTGTACATAGGCTCGTGCAGAAGCACAACTTTGTTATTCCTCATAACCACAGAGTCATGTAGCCACCAGCAAAAGGGATCATTGGGTGGTTGACTCTGGGGCTACACATCATGTCACCTCAGATTCGACCAAGGTTATTAATCAGAAAGATTTCTCTGGACCAGGTAAACTCATTGTTGGTAATGGAGGCTCGCTTTTTATTCGAGCCATTGGTAACACTATTTTTAGTTATTCTTCGCGAGCATTGATGTTGAATGATATACTTCATGTCCCTAAGATAACTAAAAATCTTCTCTCGGTCTAAAAGCTTGCTAAGGACAATGGGGTATATTTCGAGTTTCATGCCTCGTCTTGCTGTGTTCGTGATGAAGATAATGGTGAGCTGCTGCTGCAAGGACAAGAGAAGAATGTGTTCTATACATTTCGAGTTGATTGCATTAATAATACACAAGCTTCTTTTGAAGCTAATAATGT